TGGACCTCCCAAGTATAGTCTTTAGACCCTCTATTTTGAGCCATTACCTCAAAAGAGGGGTTCCCTAATCAAAATTATTTGGCGAGTTCTACACCGACATCCTCATTCTTGGAGATGCATGTGTTTTAAAGACTCTGATAAACCACCTGTAACAAAGCTTTTTTTTTTTTTTTTAACATATTTTCAACATTTCCATAACCACAGCTCTCAGATGGTAGAACACAGTCTAAGAAACACTAGTCACGTCTTAAAATTACCTCATTGTTAAGGTGATTCTTTAACCCACTGCAGTTCATTGAGGAAAGAGTTTGCATTTTATGTTTATTCTACACAAAGACCTTACAAAAATGCCTAATTTTTGAATGAGAACTAAATGCTCTCCACCGAGAACTCTGAATAAATCCTTCAACACTCTGTAACAGCTTCTAACACTTCACGCTAATCCCCACACTTCTTTCCACAAGTTAATACACTTCACGGCCCCAACTACGCAGCCAAAAGTTCTACACAGACGGGCTCAGAGATGGTGTCTAAAGGATGCGTGGGCACCCGAATGCATGGCTGGGCAGCACCCCGCTTCTGTTCTGTACTAACCGGGCAGTCTCTCTGATGGGCACACACAGCAGGCCGGGCATTAAGTCCCAAGAAGGTGCACACAGGTGTGGCATAGCAGGAAGTCAGAGACTATAACGCAAATATATCCATCCCTTTAAATTAAGGTCACGTGATGATTTCTTAGACTTCACCATTTTAGGACATGGTTTCTTAAACTTGGCATTACTGACATCTGGGGCTAGAATATTCTTTGTTGTGAGGATGCTGTTCTGTGCATTACAGAGCGTCTGGGAGCATCCCTGACCTCCACACACTGGAGGCCGGCAGCACCACCCCAGGGGTGACAACCCAGCAGGTCTCCAGACTTTGCCAAATGCCCCCCACTCTGCCCGACTCCAGTTGAGAACCAGGGCTCCACAGGAAATCTTTGCAAGAGGTTATAAGCCAGCATTTCTTTTCCTAAAAATATGAAGAACCTTTTCTTTGAACTGAGTTTGACAGGATACATATATATTCTACTTCCAAAATCTCAATTTAAAAGAAAAAAAGACATTCCAAATGAGGGACATTCTACAAAGTACGTGACCATTTCCCCCTCCAAACTGTCAAGGTAATCAAAAACAGGAAAACTCAGAGAAACTGTCACCACCAAGAGGAGCCCAGGCAGACATGCAACTAAATGCAGTGTGCTGTTCTGAGCGGGAGCCTGGGGCAGAAAAGGACATTGGGTTAAAAACTAGGGAAATCTGAATTGAATATGGACTTGGTTAACGCTGATACATATTAACAATGTATCGATATAGGTTCACTAATTGGGACGAATGAATGTGCCACAGTCACGTGAGGTTAATGACAGGGGAAACTGGAGAGGGTTGATAGAAACCACATGATTTTTCTGTAAATCCAAACTTGATCTAAAAGCTAAAGTTTACTAAAAAGCTTTTTAAAAACAAAAATGGAGGAAAAAAAAGAAGGGCAGAAGAGAAAGAGTAAAACAACTAATGAAAATCAGCTCTTCCCTGGGCAGGCTTTCTTCTGGGAGAGACTGCGAAGGGACTGTTTGGATTGGCCAAGAGATCCAATGACCAGAAAGCAACAATCAGAAAGTGAGAAGAAAAAATCATTTTGTTCTTCCATAAACTGAAAGAAATAAAACCAAATGTTTTTGTCTGAACAGCCATATTTTGTCTGACCTCTCATTTCTACAGACACAGTTCAAGTGCCAGCCTTAGCAAGTGTTTCTGCAGCCCCTGTACCCTGAGTAGTTTATCTGCTCTGCTGTCAAAGCCCCTGGGGTCCCTTGTTTATGTCCCCCCCAAGCTGACTGTCACTTATCTGTTTACCAGTCTCCCCATCCTCGTGACACTGGTCCCACGCTTGGCTTGGCATTGGCAGGGACTCACCCACTGTGGGCCCCTCCCTCTCAGACTTCCCATCTGTGAATCAACAGCCGTTGAGCCCACTGCTGGGTACTTAATAAATGTTTGGTGAATGAATCAAGCTGGATATGTAGACTCTTACAGACCTCGGCTAACAACAGATAGGGATGGTGCAGCCCAGACAGAGGGAGAAAGGAAAAGCCAAACAAGAAAGTCCCTGTGTCCTCCGGGGTGAGACAGGGACGTCCCAGGTATATGCCAGGGGCATGAAGTCAGGATGGGGCACACCGAATACCTGATAAACAGACCTGTTATACTTGAAAAGGTTTACACACTGCTTAGTCCAGTGGCCTCATTCTACAGAGAGGCACCCAAACTAGAGAGATCAGGTGGCTTGTTCAAGGCCACACAGCCAGTTTGGCACTGCCCTAAGCTGAAGGGTACCTAGACTCCAGAGCTAACGAACTCATCGCTACCCCTCACTAAGTGTGTGTCTAACAGTGGAAGTTACTTAATAATGAATAATACTAGCTACTAACTACTGTACAGCTGCTGGGTGCCAAGCCCATGCTAAAACTCCCCACAGTATCCCGATTACCGGGGAGGAGACTAAGATCAGAGAGGAAAGATAACAAGTAACTTACACCTAAGATGACAGAGGTAATTAAGTCTCAAAAATCTCCTTTGAGCTGTCATACTACACACAATTTCGCTCTGATTCTCACACCTCGAAACCCAAACTCTGGCCTGATGCTGATCTTTATCACCCAATACTCCAGCTGTCTCACTAAGCAAGCACTGTTCTAAACACCTTCCATGGATGGACGTATTCATTCCTCACCAAACCATAGGATGTGGTACTGTCGACATCCCCATTCTACAGATGATGAAACTGAAGCTTCATGAAGAATGGCAACAATTCTGCTTGTAGTTTCTTATAAAATTAAACATGCAATTACCATTCAACCAAGCAATGGCATTCAGACCAATGAAAACATGTTCACACAAAAAGCCACACACAAATGTTTACAGCAGATTTTTAATACTCAAAAACTGGGAGCAACCCAGATATCTTTCAGTGAGAGAGGTATAGTTAAATGGTTCTTAACAAATGGTTCAGCCGTGGTTCATCCACTCCGTGGAACGCTACTCAGCAGTAAAAAAGAACACACTATGGATACAATACACATAACCACTTCAACGCATCTCCCAGGAAGTTGTGCTCAGTTAAAAAAAAAAAAAGCCAGGGGGGGAAGGGGGATGGGCATGGAGGAGGGCACTTTGGGGATGAGCACTGAGTGTTATGTGGAAACTAATTTGACAATAAACTATTTGTAAAAAAAAAAAAAAAAAAAAAAAAAGCCAATTCCAGAAGGTCACATAGTTTGATTCCTTCTATATAACATTTTTGAAGTGGTAAAATTTTTGAAATGGAGAACAGATAATGCTCCAGGGATTGAAGAAAGCATTGGAGGGAAGTGGACACAGCTATAAAGACAATGTGAAAGATGTCAGTAATGAACTATTCGGTATCTTAACAGTATTAACTGCGGCGCTGAATTCTTGAACCGGCACATGATGAAACTGTGTAGAACTAAATACACAAACACAAATAAAGTAAAAGTAGAGGATCCATTACGATCTGTGAAATGTATCAGTAACAAAGGTATTGCTTGAGATACTGTACTATTCTTTTGCAACATGTTATCACTGGGAGAAACTGGGTAAAGGGTATGTCAATCTCTGGCACTAACTTTTACAATAGCATGTAAATATACAATAATTTCAATTTTAAAAAAGTCCTGCAAGTCCCAAAGCTGAGCTAGATGATCTACATTGCCTTCATCTAACATCTGCAACTTCCAGGATCTGCAAAGCCACTCTTCTTTCCACCACACTACACAGCCACTTCAAAATGCAGTGCAAAATTTAACTCTGAGCAAAGGAAAACTAAGAAGCCCTTTTTCGCAGAATTCTGCATTGCCAGCCACTTTGAGCTCTCTCAGAAAATTACCCCATTTGGTGAAAATAAGCGCCCTGCTTTCTCTCATTAAACTGGCTGCTGGCCACAAGACTGAAAATGGGATCCTACCAAAAGTTCTCTCCCACCAAAGACTTTCCTTATCCACCCCACCGCGCCCGCAACATCAGTACAAACATTTCAATTCGAAATCTTCCTTGAAAGTAGTAGCACCAATGGCTTATCACTGGCCCATTATACCAGGTCCCAAATGGTCAGCTGCTACAGGACAGTAGCACAGCACAAAATAGCGCAGAGGATCAGGGGCTGAGACAGACCCAAGGTCAAGGTGTGACCTTGGCCAGGTTCCTGAAACCTGAGTCTGGCTTTTGCCATCTATAGGATGGGGATGTGGCACCATCCCTGCGAGGCATGGGAAGGATTCAGGGAGACTATCCACGTGCCTGGCACTAGTATTTCCTCGGGCCTCCGGAAGCTCCTGCCCACTTCCCTCACTAACAGAACCAAGCTGATTTTATGTTCACCTGCCAACAAAGGAGTCACTCCCTGGAATCCCCTCCTCACTTTGGTTGGTAGATAACCCTGAACACTCTCAACTCGAACCCCTCCTATTTCAAACAAACACAAAGGAAAATCGCCCCTGGCCACCGACAGCAGCCTAGCAGCTCAGCTCCGGAGGCACCCGCCGCCTGCCGGACTCCGGCTGTTACTATTATCACTCTCCTTTATTAACAATACCTAACGGTGTATGGAGGTAACTGTCTCCTAAGCGATGTCGGTGGTGCCGAGAGCGCTTCCGATGCAGATTTCTGGCTAAAAATCCCCAGAATTTATAAAACTGCTTTCCCGACAGGAGAAAGGCAAAAGTTGTAAAGTTCCTGGAGGTGCATTTTTCCGCGTTTCCCGGAATGGCACTGCAGAGGAGATGTCGCCGCAGCTGGGACTGGGGGAGACTGAGGGTCACGACTGGAGCGCCTGGAGGTCAGCAGCGGGACCGGGGCAGGTAACAGGGGGCCCGCTCACCCGCGGGCCGCTTGAGACTGGCCCCCAGGCACTGGAGGTTCAGGGGAAGCCGCCGCACTCACCTTCCGAGCTCCTTTTTGCCTCCCGGTAGCGCTCCCACAGGTAGCCTTTCATGTCCGGGGCCGTCCCAGGTGCCGTGCACAAGGGCCGTGCGGGGCCCGCGCGCGGCCACCCCCGGGCTGCAGTCCCGCAGCCGCTCAGCAGGGCCGCCGCCGCCCTCGCCCCAGCCCCACGGGCCACCGACGCCGCCGCGGTGGCCATGCCTTCCGCTGCCCTGCTGCGAGCAGTGCCCAGACACCACAGCTGTGTCCGCGCTCAGCCCGCTGGCGGGCGGCTCCCTGCGTCGGAGCACGTGGCGGCGGCGCGGCCCGCCCCTGTGGCCGCCGCGTGGGCGGGGCCTGGGCGGGGGCGGGGCCTGGGCCTGTCTGACAGGGGGCGGGGCCTTGTGGGGCGGGGCCTTGGGCGTGGTCTGGTCTTATCAGGCCGGGGACGGGGCCTGGGCTGCACGGCCCCGGCGCCCAGCCGGCTGTGGTCACTCCCTGATCCTACCTGTTTCCTTCCTCCTCCTCCTCGCTGACTGCGGCCGTCCCACCACTGACTGCACGGACAAACTGCCTCTAGCTCAGGCTTCGGGAGGTGACCTCTCTCAGCATTAACAGCCTCTGAATTCTGGCTCTCTCCCGGATTGCGGGGGCGGGTCTGTCCCTCGGTCCCCAAGGTTGGATCTTACCAATGCCGCCCGTCTGGGCCAAGGCCCCACATGTGGGCTTATGTGTTCGAAAGTCATCCTCTACCCCCGCCACCCCCCTACTGCACAGCCTAGAAGGCCATTGTCCCTCCAGAGATTCCTGCCTCAAGAGGGAGGCCCTCAGGACACCGCCACCCTGCTCCTGCCTACGTTCACAGGGAAGGTGCACCTGTCTTCCCTCACATCTGCTAGGCTGCACCTGTTCAGTGAATTGTGGTTCCACCAAAGACAAATAAACAGGAACCTCCACGATGCGACAGTTCTGTGCGACTGAATCAGACTCGGCTGCTGCAGGAAAGGCCCGCCCAGAGCCGGCTGAGGATCACTGAACTCAGAGGACTCCCCAAGCTGTTGGTTACTGTGGTTACTGTTGAGCAGGGTGTTAGCTGGAGTACAGGGAATAACTCAAGGCTGTCTCACTGCCTGGAAGACCACACTGTTGCGTGTGAAATAGGGCACGATTTAAGACAACCCAAGCATTCACCTATGCGTACGTTGTTGGTTAAAGAGGTAGGAAAATGCTTCTGGGAAAAAGATGGCCTCTGAGTTAGACCCTTACAGATAACAACTATCATTTGTTAAAGGCTTGCTACGTGCCTTTTTATGCAATCGTCTCATAATCCTGAAAAGCAGGAGCTGTGATTTCTCCCATTTGATAAATAATGAAACTGAGGTCAAGACAAGTCAGATAATTCTCCTGAGGTCACACTGCTGAGCCCATTCTTCCATTTGGCTTCCTAATATAGTACGTAGAATTTAGTTGAGTGATAAAGTAGCTATTAAGTAATCCTTAACAGTTAATGGGCAACAAATCACTGATGAGAGGCAATTAAAATGTTTCAAATAGACATGATATGGGGCACCTGGGTGGCTCAGTCAAGCCTCCGACTCTTTTTTTTTTTTAATGTTTTTATTTATTTCTGAGAGAGAGAGAGAGAGAGACAGCATGAGCAGAGGAGGGTCAGAGAGAGAAGGAGACACAGAATCTGAAGCAAAGCCTCCAACTCTTGATTTGGCTCAGGTCATGATCTTACAGTTCGTGAGATCCACCCCTGTATGGGGCTCTGTGCTGACAGCGCAGAGCCTGCTGCATGAGATTCTTGTCTCCCTCTCTCTGTGTCCTTCCCCCCTCTAGCTCTATCTCAAAATAAATAAGTAAACCTTTTTTAAAAAAGAATAAAATAGATATGATATTAAATCCATAGACTCTGGTACTTTAAACTTACTTTACAGTTTTCATTTATTCCGATTTATCTTTTCTTGTTCATGTTGCATAAAAAGTTTTGGTGATAGCAATCATAAATTTTATTTACATGGAAAATCAATTCATAAATTCAAAATAAACTATATCAATGTGAAAGTAATTCAGTTAGAACATTAATAGCACTGCTTTAGCATATTTTTAGATATGGAACCATGTGAGATCAACATTCTTCTACCTACCATGGAAATATGAATCACTTCAAAGTTGTGCTTTTTAGCTACAATCTGCTACATCTTTTAAAGAACTAAAAAATCAAGACCCTAGACTTCGATTATCACCACTTCTAAGAGTTATAAAAGAAAAGATCTCATCAAAGAGTTCTAAATAAAGGCAAGTAGAAAGAAATTACAGACACAAAAACTCCCATGATCATTCTTTTGCTTTATTAGTATCATTTGAGGTCTTCAACGATTTGGTTTCAAACTGAAATCTTCTCTGCAGAAAACTCTTCTGGGGAATTGAACTGTATTCTGGGCTATGAAAAAGCCACTTTTCTGATATGAGCTCAGATATGGATTCCCAGGGATTATTTGTGGTAGGAGACCTCCCTGCCAACAGATGACGGTAGATTGTGGTGATTTGGCCTTCTCCACCCTCACTTTTAGTTGACAAAATCTTTTGCCTCGAAAGCTTTACTACACCATCCATTTTACTCAAAGATAAAACCTTAGAGGAATAATCTTTCTTTTTCATTGAGCCTTCTTTTTCTGGGCCATTCCATGGATCCACATTATCCTGTGTCTTCCGTCGGGTCTTCTCCTCAACAGAAATAGAAAAGGTGGGTCTCAAGACCTTTTTCCCTTTTCCAGGAGCACATTTTGATTTATCTGAAATTGTATGAGGTGGCAAGTCCATGCTTTTAGCTCTCTGTAGCTTCTCTGCATTCATGCATATTGCAGAGCTCACTGTATTCGTACTCTGAGCACAGTGGTAGTCTAATTTAAGCAAGTACTCCCATAATGAGGTGCCATTCCTAGAACCCTCGGAATACTGCTGACTCATGCCTTGAGGCCAACATCTTCTACTCCTGGTCCGCTCAATTTCCCTCAGAAGTCTGCAAAAGACCAAAAATCGTCAAGAGGCCACATGTACCATGTGAATAGCCAGAAGCAGGTTTCTTTTTGAGACACAGAACAGAAACTCACTGCAGGATTCCGTGGATTGATGAATGAGAAGATCCCAGGTAGGTCGCCCTTAAGTCAAGTGATCTGTACAAATAGCCCACTGCTTCAGTCAGGATGTGATGACCAGAGTCATTTAAGAATAACTGACCTGCTGGATATTTGAAAATACGAATATTAGCATCTTTCTCTGCCCCTCCCTCTCATGCACACACACACGCACTCTTTCTCTCAAAGTAAATAAAAATAAACATTTAAAAAAAGAATATTTACTAGAACACTTGGGGACATTTAAATATAAATTGCACTTTAAATAACAGCCTTATGTAATGGTCAAATTTCCCAGGTTTGATAAGTGTACTTGATTATATAGGAGAATGTCATTGTACTTTGAAGACACACGCTGAAGTATTTACAGACAGAAGTCTCATATCAGCAACTAACATTCAAATAGTGCGGGAAAAAATATGGATGGACATGCACGTATGAAACAGAGAAAGAAAGCAAATGTGGTCAAAACGTGAACAATTGGTGAATATAGGCAAAGGGTCTATAGGTGTGCATTATATAATGCTAGGTGCCACTGTCAATAAGGTAACATAATTCTCTAAAATGTTTATATATATATATATATATATATATAATTTGCAAGTGGCAAATTTATTCATTTATTCATTTACTCATTTTACCCATTTACAAGACTGCTTTTAAGGAGCTGAATTTATACCACTAGTAATGAACATAATGTAAGGCCAGTGTATATAGGGCATCAATCTGGATGTGTGACAAAGAGACTGCCAAGATCCTAAGGGTAAAAACCACTGGCAGGTGACCCAGCCAACGTCCCCATATTAATAACAGTAATAACAACGACTTTAAATTACATGATTGCCACCCATCAAGCCTGTGTAATCCTAAAAGATATAAACTAGCATCTTTGTCTATTTTTTTCTCATTTAGCCTTCTAATAGGACACGCATCCACAGGATTCAAAATGAAAATGTATGAAGATATGAAGTAAAAAGTGTCCCTCCCATCTCGGTCCCCGTCAGTCTTTTATTTTTTTTAATTTTTTTTATTTCTTTCTTTCTAGGAGAGAGAGAGAGAGAGACAGCGTAAGCAGGGGAGGGTCAGAGAGAGAGGGAGATACAGACTCTGAAATAGGCTCCAGGCTCCGAGCTGGCAGTCAGCACAGAGCCTGACGCGGGGCTCGAACCCACGAACCGCGAGATCATGACCTAAGCGAAAGTCGGACCCTTAACCGACTAAGCCACCCAGGCCCCGCCCCCCCCCGCCCCCGTCAGTCTTTTAAACACGTGTCCTTCCAGAGAACTTGCAGTGCGTGTCTATTGTCTTCTAAAGAGGTGAACACTGAACAAAGGAACTTGCTCCCGTTCCTGGTGGAGTGATCCAAGGCCGGCTTCATTCCCAAGCCCGTGTCCTCGACTGCTACCCTAGGCTGCCGCTCCCCTCGTTCTGGATTGTCCTTCGGAGAGCCAGCCGAGGCTTCTGTTGGCAGAAACGTTCACCTTGTAGCCCTGCCTCATGAGTCATACCCCAGGTCTCAGCGTCTGGTCGGGAGCTGTCGCTCTTGGCTCTGCTTCATAATCTGTGGCTATTTTTCTTCTTTTTGAAGAAAAGTTATTTTCATAACTCCCTGTGTTCCCAGTCTCGGAGAGCAGAATGCACTTGTGAGTTGCCCTGCTCTGGATGGCCATGACGCCTTGGTCTTAACTGGCCTTATAAGGTAAAGTGGAGAAGAAGAGCCAGATGTCTCAGGCGGCAGCTGAAAAAATCATTCTCAGAGACCTTCTGGGCGCCAATAACCGGGCCTCACAGAAAGCTCGTTCTGCCCAAGGCCCTTTAAGAGGCTCCGACTTGCCACACAGACCAGCTACCGCTGTCCCTAACACACACCATTTCCGGCTCCGGCTCCTCAGACTACCCCCTGGCCACACATCTTGGATCCTCAGGGCCTGGGGATTCTGGACGGTATGTATAGCTCCGCCCTCAGACACAATCCAATCAGCTCTTTCTGGCAACAAGCACAGTAGCTACCAGGAGAGGACATCCTTGCCTCAGGCCCAGCCCCAGGCCATCCCATCCTCCCTTGGGGTCAGGACTAGCTGGGCAGCACGACCCAGCCTCTTCAGACTTCCCCGCCCAGGGAAGAAGAC